TCTTCCGATGTTGTTGTCCAGGTCAGTACTCCACACAATTATCCTGCAAGTCAGTTTGATTAACTTGGTTTCAATTCAATTTTCTTGAATGGAATGAATATTTGGGAATTTCATGACTACGATTAGCTTCCTTGTCAATTCTCTTGTAAAATGGGAACAGATAATTCTATGATCTTGCTCCATCAACCAGCACACTGTAAAGTACAAGTTTTTTTTTGCGGGGATGCTGAAGAGTTGTTAACAAGAAATAATTCTTATGTAGTTTACACGAGATACTCAGACACACACATGTTACATTACACACATATATTTGTCTGTGTGCGTATTTATTGTTTCATCTATATGCTTGCTTAACAAACTTGTTCATGTCAAGATATTGCTGATACACGTCATTGAAAGTTGCTTCTTGATTGTCTTCTCCTCTCGAATTTTCTTTTATAGGTTTTAGATGCAAGAGACCCCCAAGGTACAAGATGTTACCACTTGGAGAAGCATTTGAAAGAGCACTGCAAGCATAAAAATATGATTCTTTTGTTAAACAAGGTCTGTTACACTTCTCGTGTTGTGGAGGGCAATAAGATTTTGAGGATTAGTCCTCCTTTGTTTCTGTCAAATTCTTCTACAGCTTGAAAATATTAACACTTGGTGTCCTCAGTGTGATTTAGTTCCTGCATGGGCAACAAAAGGATGGCTGAGGGTACTATCCAAAGAATATCCTACTCTTGCTTTCCATGCTAGCATCAACAAGTCATTTGGCAAGGTAGCTTTAGAATTTAGTATACTACTCCCTTTGAAAGTGCATCTATTATGTCGCGTTGTGGCCGTGCATTTATTATGTTGCATTGTGGCTTAAGTTAACTTCATAAATTCATATTGAGTTTAGAGTTGATATTTGGTTTGTTGATTATCTCCTTCTGTCTGTGTTGGTGCACTTAGGGTTCTCTTCTATCGGTTTTGAGGCAATTTGCCCGCTTAAAGAGCGACAAGCAAGCGATTTCTGTCGGATTTGTTGGATATCCCAATGTCGGGAAGTCATCAGTTATTAATACATTGCGAACCAAAAATGTAATGTACTTAATCTCTTTTCATTTTTATGGTGTTTAGACATGCACTATTTTAGTTTATCTAGTTATGCTTTTACATAATTTGAGGTCCATTTTATAGCATTTACATGGAATCCGATCATGTAATAGTCCTAATAAGAAATGATTGGAATCATAATGCAGTGACCATGGACATTAAAATCTTTTCATGAATCTTCCAGTTGTTACTCATCTTTTATGATTGGTTTTATCTCTTCCTTGCAAATAAGGATGTGGTAATGTTTCACCATACTAAATCGTCTGACTGTGCAATGATTTAGGACAACTTTGGACTTGACTTTGCAATGGTCTGATGGGGCGTGCTTATAACTAGTAATGCTTGAAAGAGTATATGATATCTCTTTCAGATGTTGAACTTTGTGGATGAGTTTAGTTATTAAGTTTTGGGAAAATGATGTTGATCTTTTGTAAAAAGGTTCACGTACTTTTGAAAAGACTGCTCGGGATCTTAAGATTTTTGTATGCATCTTTTCTTGTTATTTTCTTGCCTTGCATGGCGGCATGATCATACTTCTAGCTAGTTTGGTGCATGATATAGCTAATGCATGTATGTGTTTCTTTCTCTACAGGTTTGCAAGGTTGCTCCTATACCAGGGGAGACTAAAGTGTGGCAGTATATCACACTTACAAAGAGGATTTTCTTGATTGACTGTCCTGGAGTTGTTTATCAGAACAGGGACTCTGAAACTGATATTGTGCTGAAGGGAGTGGTATGTTGTCGTTAATTTTTCTGACTTTGGTGGCAGATCTATCTTTTTTCTTCATTAGGTTTGCGTGTGCAATTTGTTATTGAAATGTTTTATGCTTTTGGATTTTGGAACATTAATATTTCTGTTTTATTTTTATTTCCATTATAGTTATTGTTATTATGAATTATTGTTGTTTTTTTGTCATTTATTATTGTAGATATTTAATTGTTTCTTAACCTTTCCGTTTGTTTTCTGATTAGTTACTCCAGTTTGAAGAATTTATTTTCCTACTTCCTAGGATGAGTATCCTTATCATTTTACCTTTATGGACACGTTCCCTTCTTAGATTCTTCATAATTGTTCAACCCATAAAGGCTCTCAATTAGATGAAAAATAAATTTCATGATTATGCTCCTTCATCTAGTTTTTGGAGTTATTTGTTGTTTTATCTTGTCAATTCTCTTTTTTCTGAGGCTGCTATTTTGGATACATTATTTTGAGGCTGCTGTTTTGGATACATTATTTTGAGGTGGAAGAAATTGTCGACAAGCATGCTTATTACTTTATTTTTTGTCTGCTTATTTTCTATGGCTTAGTTTGATATTGCTTTTCGCTTCCAAAATCAGTTTCTGCTTGTAGCAAAAGCTGATTTTAGTGTTTGGTATATCTCTTCAAAAGTGTTTTTTGAAGAATTTTTGAAGAATCTATAGCCAAAATAAGAAGCAACCCAAATGCAACTTTAGCTTTTAGATTGTGCGGGAATTAGCATAGTACAATTAATGAAACTTTCATAATACCCATAATACCACTAATGAAATTTAAAATTTATAATCTTATCAATCTAAAATTCAGACTCATAATATAATATAATATAATTTTATATAATAATACAATAATATAATATAATAGTAATATTGTAACAAATAATATCATAATTATATAATTATGATATTATTTGTTACAATATTACTATTATATTATATTATATAATCATTATTATATTATAATAATATTTCAATTATAATATAATTAAAAATTACAACTATATTATATTATATAATCATTATTATATTATAATAATATTTCAATTATAATATAATTAAAAATTACAACTATATTATATTATATAATCATTATTATATTATAATAATATTTCAATTATAATATAATTAAAAATTACAACTATATTATATTATATAATCATTATTATATTATAATAATATTTCAATTATAATATAATTAAAAATTACAACTATATTATATTATATAATCATTATTATATTATAATAATATTTCAATTATAATATAATTAAAAATTACAACTATATTATATTATATAATAATTGTTTTTTGTATTATATTAAATATAATATTAAATATATATTATATTGTAATTATATATATTATATTATAGTATAATATAATGTAGTCGTAATTTTTTACTATCTACAGTAATTCAACCTCATAATTTTTTAAACGTTATTATATTGATTTTGAAACCAGCACAGCTACTATAATTATAGTTTACCAAACACTCAGCTGTTTTTTTGTAACAGTTGCTTCTTTCTTCAACACAGCTAAAAGCAATTTTTTCAAAATCTATAGCACTACCAAACAAAGCCTACGTACGTCATGCAAATTTCATTTGATATTCATGGGGGAAATAATTCTAGTACTTTTGACAGGTGCGCGTGACAAACTTGGAAGATGCTGCAGAACACATAGGAGAAGTTTTGAAACGAGTTAAGAGGGTGCACTTGGAAAGAGCATACAAGATAAAAGATTGGTGTGTTACCTTTTCTCTGTGATGGGGTTTTAATGTTTTTATGTCCGCTGAATTAAAGATTATGCTGGTGTCATAGACTTGTGTCCAGATAGTTCAGCCTGGTTTTTGAGGTCCACTTTTCTCAAACAAGAAGTTGATATTCCTAGGGTTAGATCTACGCCAGAAAATTGTTTCTTTCTGTTTTTTTATGCTTGCTAATAATTGAGGTGATATTTATTTGTTTATAGGTCCGATTGACCTATGATGAGTTTGTCAATAAAATTGACTTTTTCTCTTTTTCTAGCTTGATTTTAATGGTTGAGGTGATATTTATGTAATTATGTTTATCAGTTGGACATTGTCGTGAATGAAAGGCTGCAGCATAGATCTATCTTCTGTCTATTTTATACTACGTTAATGTGTTCGTCAAGATCGCATTAGTTTTGTATTATTGTATTTTCTTTTTTTTCATTGTCCTCCAACGCTGTAAGGACCTTTTTTCTCTTCACGGAAAATTCCAGTATGAAGAGTTACATATAACCGTTTCATCCATTATTTTATTTTCAGGGAGGATGAGAATGACTTTCTAGTTCAACTGTGCAAACTGACGGGCAAGCTTTTAAGGGTAATTCTTTATGTTTTAGTGTTTTACTGGTAATTAGACTTCTTTCTTTTTATTTTTCATTTCAAAGCTATTGTTCAGTCTGAATGTATAGCTCAATGATGTTATCCAATTTGGGAAGGAAAGAAAATTATAAAGAGTGAAAATAGGGAACTTTAGTGAATTAGACAGTGGGACCGAGAGTAATTTGTTGTTTTTCTTCCTCTATAAATTCATGCCTTGTTGCAATTGTATACCAGTTTAGGTCTCTTACCTGTTCAACCGTGTTGGACTGTGCCATGCATTTTGCATATTCCCTAAGGAACCATTGTAAAACTAAACCCTGCAAGAGTTTCTTGCTGACAAAATCTAGAGCTTCCTTTTTCTTTCAGGGGGCTAATATGGATTAAAGAGTTGCATATATAATATATTATATATTTTATTCCCTTTGTGACTGCTGGATAAACATGCAATATGGTTTTTGGTAATTTACTATATTTTGGCCCAATTTTGCCTGTGTTCGAGATGAGTGGTCGCAACCTACTGAATTATCCCTTATTTTTTGGTTTGGAAAGCTTAATGGGAATTTTTATTTGGCTCCCTCTAGGGTGGTGAACCCGACTTGACGACTGCAGCAAAGATGGTCCTTCACGACTGGCAGAGGGGGAAGATACCATTTTTTGTGCCCCCTCCTAAGCAAGAAGATGAGTCATCAACGGAACCTGATGCTAGTGGTAAAGATGACGACGCAGCTGAAGGTAGCGATAAGGCATCCGCAGCCTTTAAAGCCATTGCAAATGTCATTTCATCCCAACAACAAATGACTGTTCCTGTTCAAAGGGATCTATTTAGTAAGACAGAATTAAAAGGTGAAACAGCCGAGCAGCTTCTGACTTCGTCCCAACAGCAAATGAGTGTCCCTGAGAGTGAAACCAAATCAAAGGGTGAAACAGATGAACAGCTTCTGACCAGTGAGGACGAGACAAATGAGTAACTTTGAGCCACTCAGCAAGTTAGATGAGCAACTTACGGTGTTTTTTTTTTTTTTGGTTGAAGCAACTTTCGGTAATTGAGTCTTACAATTTTGTTGTATTAGAAAAAGTCGTCACTTTTTGGAGTTCAGCATAGTAGGTCTTTTACTTGGTGCCCAGTAATGTTATTATCTAAAATTTTGTTTTAGTGTCCTCTTTCAGACGGACGGACAGACAGAGCGAACTTAATGTGGTTGATTTTTACCAGAGTAATTGTTTCAATGTGGAATATGAGATAAGGTCGCAACAGGAGTGAGTTGTGCTTCTTTTAATGGCTCTATATACGTATATATGTGTGTGTGTGTGTGTGTGTATATATATATATTCCGTTTAAACTATATACACTAAAAGTTGCTATATGCATGTGGTTTGGATTCTCTCTTCGTAATTTTTACTAGTTAATTAACAAATCCATAATCTTGAGAAGGAAGGTAAAATGAGAAGACAGATTATCATAATCACAGATGGACAGAGATTGTCATTTGTATAAGAGCAATGGTGTGAAACAAAAATTTTACCAAAAAAAAGCCTTGTGAGGTCAGAATATTGAACGTCTTAGCCGTCGCCATTTTCACATGTAGATCCTCTTATCCTACTCATTGACCAGTTTTTTCTATTTTTTTTTTTTTTAATTTTTGGGACCAAAAGTTACTTCACAAGTACGCTATAACTGGTGTCTTCTTTTTGACATTGAGGTTGTGCTAAGATCAGAGACGCTAATCACGTGTTAGACTCCATCAAAAGTCGAAGCTTTGGATTGTATGGATGAAAGCCGTAGACCTGTTTACTAAATCATCACCTACCAAACGGACTTGTAACTTCTACAGATTGAAACAAACCAGCGAATGATGAATTTTATTTTAGACAAACAGACACATCACCTTGAGAGGCTTGTGTTTCTGGTTCAAGTATAGTTGAACCAGCTCGTTTAATCTACTCTATGACACGGCAAGTTCGAATCCGTGACTCCAAGTTAAACCAGCCTAGTGGCACTCAAAGAACAACGCGCCGATTAATTTTCCCTCAATAAACCAGCTCTGTGTTTCGTTCAAAGTATTGTTTTGGGGTATTATTATTTCTCAGTGTTTTTTGGAATTCTCAAGTGTTTGTCATTTTTATATGGTTTTGAATCTTTATAATCATATATCCCCAACCTTTTCAATCGTAATTATTTGCATAGCAAAATGCATTATTAAGTGGTCCACTGGCCCTATCACTTCACATGCAGCTAATGGTGCCAAATTGACGACTAACTAATTTTGGTTATTTTGTTGTTGTCAATTGTCATCGATATCTTCTTAAATTATGACTTGGATTTGGTCAAATCTCTATTACAGCTAATACATGCAAAGCAATACCTGAAATTAGGGAGGAAGAAAACTTCAATACGACTTACTTTCTTTCTCACATAGCATATCTTGCTATGCATATTCGCCGATATATATCACACGAATATTGATTTGAATAATACTAAGAGTTTAAATTTATTTTTTACTTTTTTAATACCAATTGAGATAACAAGTGACTTATCTTCCATTTATTAAGGAATTTTTAAGTAATTGTCACATTACTTGGTACCGAAGACTCCATATCAATTGAAAAATAACAAATGATATTAATAAAAATTTAGGATAATAGTACGTTAAAAAAAAAAAAGGATAACAGTTTTTTCATGCACTATGGTTCACTGCAATAAAAGTTTAATAATTTTTTTCTAAATAACAAAATAGTATGAGGTAAATAGGTGCGAGCCATATACTAACATATAGGAGCTAATAATGATACATCAATGATAATTTTTAAAATTGCTCAATGAATTAAGGTATCTTTTTTATCAAATAACTATATTAGTCAAGATGATATTAATTAAGACTAAAGAGTAAAAACTTAGATCCATACTCTCTAAGGAAACATAAGCAAGTTCACTTGTAAATGTTTTAGCACTGTTGCTTCTCAAATTTGTCTCCTTTTGGTAACTTGTGTCCTAAACTGTTTGTTTAGGCAATTTTCCCCTCAACTTTCTAAGTTGTAGTAATATGCTCTATTTTATTAACTTCTCATTAACAGTGTGTTTGGTAGTGTGGAAAAGAGAGGGGAAAGAAAATAAAAGAAGGATTTTAGAGAGGAAAATGGAATTTTAAGTTGTTTGGTAGAGAGGAAATGAGAAAGGAAGGAAAATGAAAATCCATGGGAGCTACTAATTTTTAATCCTTCTAATTTTGGGGGAAAAAAAAAAAGAGGGGAGAAAAAGTTTGACAAACAAATAAGGTGTAAAATAACAATTTTAACATTCACCATTCATCATATTTTTATTTGTATTGGGATATTATTGTAAAATATCTTAGATTTGATATTTTCTTTTCACTTTTCTTTCTCTTCTACTAAACAACACGAGAAAAAATTATTTTATTTCATTCACCTAGGTATTTCACTTCTCCTTCCTTTCTTCTTTTTTATTCATCCTACGACACATAGCATAAAGGACATGAGATTTTCCTTCCTTGCATGAGGCAGACGTTGACTTTTCATCATTAATTTAACGGAAAATTAAATAAAATGCGGTACATTGTATTAAATTAGAAAGTTCAGGGGTAAATTATCACAATTAGAATATTGGTTGCAATGACCTAATAACATTACTATGAGTAATACTAGGAACACTAACTTAAATTTAAATTTTTGTATACTAATTGATGTGAGATATGAATTGATGTGAGATATGAGTTGTCATTTTTTTATTGATAGATGTAATCTTTTTGATTAATTGATGCGACAATGTTTTAAATAATTACTAATATAAAAATGAAACTCACATATATGATACATAAAAGTTGGTATTTAAATTAGTGTGTAAGCATAATTCAATTACAATTAGACAATTGTGATGGGCCATTAGCCGACCCCCTGGACTGTAGAAGCTGGGCCTCCGGTGCTGCCATCGGTCTCTAACAAGGTTATTGGCCCAAAAGTTAGGCCATAATAGGTTGTTCTATGCAGATGTAGATCTTAAAGCTCTAATTAACATAATTAACATAAAATGGTTCGGTTATGGAAAACGACTAAGCATCTGCAGAGCCAGAGGCTGATTAGCTGGTTAAATAATGCATGCAAATCCGGCCTCCTTTTGTTGGAGACCGCTGATATCATTAGCAAACAACTGGAAATTATAAATACTTGCGACTTATTGCTTAAATTTTGACCACATATTATAATTTTTTTTTTAAAAGAGGAAATTTATAGTATAGACTAGAGTTTTGATAAGAAAATGATGACTATTCTATTTTAAACCGTCGGATATATCAATTTTGTTATTTAAACTAAAAAAATGCAAAATTAAGAAGAAAAATTTTAGAGAGAGAAATTAAAGAGAAATAGTCTCATTAATCTTGTGAAGGTATACAAAATGAAGAGTCTTATAACTCTATTTATAAAAAAAAAAAAAAAAAATTGGCACTATTCTATTATTTGACTGACTTGCATAATAACTTTAACTGACTTGTATAGTAACTTTGACTGCAGTACAAAGCTACTATCCATAAAAAACTTTATATATTTTTATTTTGATAATATAACTTTCAAAACACATTCATTGGGTAGGATATAATACTACCCTACGTAGAAAAAAGCTCATTCTCTCTAAGTTGCTTAGCTTAGAAAGGAAAATAAGGCCAACAAAACAAAAACAAAACGAAACAATTGTACTCTTGCGTGTTATAAATTGTGATGCTAAATTACTCGTTTCATTCAAGTACCCTCTATCTACACACAAAGGGAAATATTTATTTCCATCCGTAATTTCAACTGACATTTCTGTACCATGTTTAATACGTATGAGTATCATCAATATCTTCTTTTTTTTTTTCACCTTTCCATGAGTAAGTTACAAAACAATTTTGAATATTTTATCGTGATAAATAACACTTTTTTGCTAAAAATAAATAGCAGTACTTGATACTACATATTCAATCTTGTATATACGGATAGATATACTCATGGCATGAGAATAACTTTAATATTATGAGTTTTTGCAGAAAAGTGAAAAAGAAAAATAATATATGGTTTTTGCTTAATCTCTGTAAATATTTCAAAAACATAATACTATAACAATTTTAAAAAAAAATTTACGCAGTTTGAGATTTCCAGCCAAAAAAAGAAAAAAAAAAAACTATTTAGAATCTCAAGCTTACATTAAAATGAGTAAATTTTTTTAAAATTTTTACAAAGTTTGAGATTTCCAACAAACAAAAAAGAAAGAGAGAATAATCTCAAGCTTACGTTAAAATGAATAATCTTACTACATTTTTAGCAAAGTTGAAGAAGTCCACAAAGCGAAATCAAATTAGTGAGGGTAATTTTAATATATAATAAGTTACTGGGCCATATCTCCAAGCCAAGCTCTTGGAGACTGGCCACAAAAATAACAAAAACCTAGTAATAATAATTATTATTATTCTAAAAGAAAAAAAAAAGGGCAAAATGAGGGAATTAACCAAACCAATATAGCGTAAACGCATGGCCACCAGTTTTCATCATTCAGGTGTGTTGAAGCTTTTTTATTATTTCATTTCTTCTTTGAAAGTGGCACCTTTTTGTGGGTCCAAAAGTAAGATTTTCATGAGTTTTTTTTTTTTTTTTTTAATTGGCAGAATATATACGTAACACGTTGAATTAAGACGGCATGAATCTCTCCTTAATGGAAGGCACATGGAACCGGCTCCAGCTGTCTTCTTCATTGGATTTTTTGTCCAAAAAAAAAAAGTGTTTTGTTTAAGGACTGATTAGACTTTTGCTTCTCTTTCCTTTTTCTATCCAAACTTTCATATCAAACAAAAAAGATGTTTGGACGTTTGCACTTTGCATATTTCAAATGCACTTTGCATATTTCAAATGCACTTTGCAACCGCGTTACAATTTTTGGATTATTGTACTTATGTATTGGAACCATCGACCTATCTTTACTTTTGGGCCACAAAATTTCAAAATATAACCGATAACAACCTTAAATTTTAAAGGAAATTGCACTATTATACCACAAAGTATTCATTTTTTAAATAACTCTGATACCATCTTAAAATAAGCTCGTTTAGTTCGCTGATTCGAGTTTTTAATTCAAGTTGAGATGTAATTTTATGTGAGTTTTTTACTGTAGTAAAAAAATTAGATATGATTATTTTTGAGAACTTTTTACTATAGTAAAACTCGAATCGGTAAAATGAACGAGGTCTAAGACTGACTCTCATATTTCTGACGTAGTTAAGGTTAGTTCCAACGC